TTGATTTTATAAATCCACTTGCAACCCGGAGGCTTCTTCCTGCTCGGTAGAGGAGTAATGTCCCATGTTTCATTACTTTGGAGGGCCTCGAATTTCACTAGCCATGGCATCTCTCCATCTAACATCCCGAACGACTTCAAAGAAATGCACAGGTTCTCTCTCGCATGAAGGGCTGCAAGAAAGGTTCGGTGGGGGAAGGAGAATTTAGCACAATTTAAGTACTTTGTCAAACCGTAAGGCATACCCGAGGAAGGCTGAATGTGGAGTGCGAATTGAGGGACCGAGTTGTAAAGTGGTGTTAGTGACATAATCACGAAGCTTCACGGATGGCTTTCGTACACGAAGACCTTTCCCCGGGGATGCGGGGACAGTATGCTCCTCGGGAACCTCTAGTTCCGTCATCATAGAGTCGGTTTGTTCCGGTGGGAGAACGATCCGGGTGGGAGGCTCTTGTTCATGGCATTCGGCGTGGCCCTCCCCGAACTCGGTTGTGGGCACATCTTCCGTTGTGGGGTTAACGTCATCGGTCTCCACAACGTGTTCCGCATTGTTCATTGCACCAAGTCCAGGCAATGCTTCATCGACAATGCCAACATCAACGAGTAGGCAATCCTACCTCCGAATGTCTACCGTGGGCAAGAGAGGCAAACGGGAATTCATGTTCTACAAACTTAACATCTCTCGAAGTCCGGAAGACTTCTCTTTCCAGATCAAACAATTTCCAGCCCTTTTTTTCGATTGAATATCCAACAAATACATTCTTGCGACTTCTACTTGCAAATTTGTCACCTTTCCTATCTTGGTTATGTGCATAACACAAGCATCCAAATACCCGTAGATGGTCATAAGTGGGTGGCTTCCCATTCAATATTTCATATGGAGTTTTTCCATGGAGAACGGTTGAGGGTGTACGATTGATCAAGTTTCCGCGGTCAAAATGCATTCTCCCTGAATTGAAGTGGAAGTTCTCCCCGAAATCGTAGAGCACGAGCTACATTTAGGATGTGTCGATGTTTTCGTTCGGCTCTCCCATTTTGCTGAGGTGTTCCAGTGCATGAGGTTTGATGGAGTATCCCATGTTGCTGAAAATATCGTTGAAGACACATAAACTCAGTTCCATTGTCACTTCGTAATATTTTGACTTGTTTCTCGTATTGTCGTTCTATCATAAAACCAATTGGCAATATGTGGAGTAGCCTAACATGTATTTAAACCATACCAAATGATATGAGGTAGGTGATGTGGAACTTTCAACAGTGAATATGTAAGATAATATGAATAATATATAATAAGGTAATTAAATAAATATTATAATTTTAATATATATATATATATATATATATATATATATATATATATATATATATATATATATATATAATAGAAATTTTCATCTTACCATCAGACAGAAATATTTGATTGGTTTGTGAAGTTTATTTTATTCAAGAAGTAAAGCTGTATAAACGTTGAGTCAAATTCTTAAATTTTATTCAAAATTATAATATAAAGATAATTTTGGTTGAGATAGAAATCAAATACTTAGTTGCTAAAAAAAGTATCTAGAAGTTCATATTAAACGTATTAATTTAAAAAAAAATTATTGTATCATATTATACAAAAATTGTAAAATAATCTTAATTTTTAAGAATATATGGTGTTTTGAAAGGTGGAGTCTTGTACAGTTAGAGTGTGATGTTGATAGGGTTTTGGACCCTCTTTCTTAGTCCCATTAACCATCTTTTCAGCCAGTTCATGCTTTCCAAAATTAGTATTAATAAAGACATATGACAAGTTTAAATGAATTATAAATGGCCACATTTCTCTTAACACAATTAATAACTATAATATATATATATATATATATATATATATATATATATATATATATATATATGAGAGGTAAATATCACAATTAAAATAAAAGAACATAAACAGATGATAAGATTCTTAAAAGTTTTAGTTACTTGATTAAATAATTTATAAAAATAAATAAATAAGAAGAAACAATAAATTATTTAAAGTTAGTTAAAAAAATTATTAGAACAAAATAATTATGAGTTGCTTAAACCATAATCTCTATTTTAAATTTGTTAAGATGAGAAGTAATTTTTACTGAAGAAATGTCATAAACTTTAGTTTAAATATAAATTTATATTATTGATAATTATAACTATGTATTCGTAGTTAATTAATTCTGTTATAATAATTTTTTATTAATTTATTTTCTTAATTACTGTTTTAAAAACTATATCTAATCAACTAGTTCAGTTAGTCTAATCATAAATGATCTAAACATGAATTTATTTTTTTAAAATAATCAAATTTTAACTAAATTAATACGAAAAAAAAACAATGCGAAGAATTTTTTAATTGAATCGATTTTGATAAAAAAAATTAATATGAGTTTTCTTTTATAAAAATAATATAGTATTTTTTTTATTTTATATTAATCATACGTTAAATTTAAATAATAATGATTTTATTATATTTGTATTTTATTTTAATTATTATCTATTTATAGTTTATATTTATAATTTTTGTTTTGATTTATCTCATAATAACTTTTATTGTTTAAAAAAATTTTATTAATAAATTTATTTTATATTTATTTTATTATAACAATATTATTTTATTAAATATCTAGTTGAATTTCAGTTCATGCTTTAAACCATGTTTTAACCAAATTTTTATTCTTGATTTATTTATTTTATAAGTTGGAAGATAAATCATTTTAAAAAAATTAAAAATTGATTATATAAATTTAAGATTTTCCTAATAAAAAAATTCAAACAACTAATTATTTAATTAAAGATTTTGATTAACGACCCTTATTAAAAATATTCATGCCTCATATATTTTAATTTAACATAAAATATAAACCCATTTTTTATTTAGCTTGGTTTTAATTGTTTATTATTATAAATTATTAAATGAAAACCAACTCATCCTCTCAACCTTAACATATTATATGGAAAAATCTATTACTTACTATACTTATTATTATTACGTTTTTTTTCTCTTTTATGATATTCTTTGAATATTCATTTAAGGAACTGACCCTCTTCAATAAATATCATTTCATGCAAAAAGACTGAACTATTAATTATATATATAATTAAATCTTTTGGATTAATAATGAAGTGGAAAGGAAAATAATAATAATAATAATAATAAATCATAGTGATAAAAATAGAATGATAAAGATACAATGACAAATATATAATGTCAAGGAAGAAAGGAAAAATGTAATATATTTTTTTTAATTTAATGAGTAAAAAGATATAGATTTAATTCCAAAATCATTTTCTTATCTTCTTATTTATTTAAACAAGTTGTTTTTTAATGTTGTAAAAAGTAATTGATTTTTAAAAGATTAAAGCAAAAAATTACAAAGTTTACCATTTCTATCAAATTCCATACCTCAAAAAGGAAGGAAATAATCTATTTGCATATATTCATAAATTTAATCCGTTTTTCGTTTATCAACTCCTCCAAAGGAAAATATTGTACTTTTCATCCATTTCCTTCGTCTCTAATTTCATCCTATATAATTCACCAGACCCAAACAAAAATTAATGGATATGTTTGTATCCACCATATATACAACTGAACACACGCATATATATTTTTTTTCAACATTGTGCTTAGATATTAGAATGTAATTAAGATTGCTAATGTTTTAAAAAATAAATTACAATTAAAAATACCAAAGCAAGCCAAACAACAGCGAGAACAATTAGTAAATATCGTCACATTTAGTTAATTCACTTTTAAAAGTGTTAGTGGAGGAAAATAATAGAACAAAGAACGAGAATTTTCTTTTTGACAAATCCAAGAATGCCGAGATATTAGTTTAGAAGAGTATTTGAAACAATTAAAAAAAATCAACTCTTGTTTAAAATATATTAAAATAATAAAATCATAAATAAATTCATAAACATCATTAAACGAGGCCTAATAAATTCTAATAGAGTTTTAAAGGAAATTGCTAAAAAATGTTTTTTATAAATAAAAATAAATATTTTATTATAAATCTTATGGATGAGTGATTAAAATAGAGATTATTTTAAATTAGGAGAAAATTCTTTTTACAAAATATTTTTAAAAGAAATTATTAACAAAAGTTAATCATGAATAAAAATAAATATTTTATCATAAATTTTATATCTGAATTATTTTAAAAATAAAAAAATAACATATATAATCAAATTTTAAGTATAGGTGAAATTCATAATAAAATATTTAAATTTATTTTTAAATAATTTTAGTTAAAAATTTAATTTAAAAATAATACAATCCAACCAAATTTTAAACAATTCATTTGGAAACTCGTACTAAAATATTAAATTGTATTTCTAAACAACTTTTATTATTAACTCGTTTAAAAAAACCTACTTCATAATAAAGAATGAGTTATTAAGCTTTAATTTATTCATAAATTACATCATGATGCTTAAATAATTAGAATTTATTACATAGATAATTTAATTTGGTGATTTATATTATTGAAATATCATCATGCTTAAATTACAATGTATCCATATTTATATATCACTACTTTCTTAATTTTTGACTTTAAGGTGTGAGTGTGTACAAGTGTAAAGCATTATGAATATTGTAGTCTATTTTAAGGAAGTGACTACAGCTATCTCTCGTCTCAACAGGAGTCACCTTCCCTAGAACATAACAATCACAAACAAATACAAATTTGAGATAAAAATTTCACAACGAAGAAACACAACAGATTGATTTGTTTTAGTAACGGTTGCATAGATAGGGCACAACTACAAGCAACAACAGCATGGGCATGATGGAGGAGGGGAAAGAGAGAGAAAGAGGAGAGAAGGTGGTCAAACAGAAACGCCACGTGTCGGTTAGTTCGCTATGGTTACAGCACTGGAATATCCTCAAGAAAAAAAAAAAAGCACAATTCCCATAATACCCTCCGGGTTCTTCTCTTCCTTCCTTCCTTCCCTTCCCCTCCCATTGATTCACACCACATGGCACAGAAACAGAAGAAGAGAAGGGAAAGGTCACTGGGTAGCAGCAGAGCTTCAACCCTCTCTCTATCTGCCCCATTAACCATTTTCTCTCCCAGTAAGAGGGACCCAACCATACACTCTAAACCCTCCCCAAGAGTTTAAAGCCCTTTCTTTTTTCTTTTCTTTTCTGGTTTTTGTTTTGTTTTCTCTCTGGGTCGTCTCACTCACCTCTCCATTGAACCACCTGGCCCCACCTCGCAAAACGTTCGACACAAACGCAAACCTCGTCACACTCCTAGTTATTGCACTCTCCCATGAGCGCGCTTTAACATTTGTGTTTTTTTCCTCCCCTTTCCCTGGTTTTGCTGAGCATTGTTTGACTTCACTTCCAGGGCTCCTCCCACCTCGCTCTCTCTCTTCAATTCTCCGGGTGACGTTTCACTCTCTCTCTGGTACTTGATCCCATTTGCCTGGCGGCTTATTTTTTATTTATTTTTTGTTGCAGGTTTTGGTGCTGTGGAATGGTTTGAGTTGAGGGGTGGTAGTTTGTGTTAGGGTTTTTCCTAGTCCAATTTGCGTTGGTCGACGAACGAGCCGTGGTAGGTTTGAGAATGTCTGGTGGGGAGGTAGGTGGTGGGGGTGTTTTCGTGGCGTGGGAGGAGCAGGTGATATGCCAGGAGCGTGGGAACCGAGTAATTCACTTCTACCTGAAGGATGCGTTGGGGAATTCGGTGCTGGCGGTTGTGGGGACTGAGAGGAGTGTGAGGCACATGATGTATGTTGTCCCTGACCATTTCTTGCAGGCCTATGGATCCACACAGCCCATCAATGCTTGCAAATGGAGGGCGCGGCGAGAGGTCGTCGACTGGCTGACTTGTTTGGTCTCCCGGAATCGGTCACACCATGCAGGTAGTTTGGCTCTAGAGAGTGTTTTGGGGTCATTTGTTTGGTTTTATGAAATGTTCAATGTGGGAGGCATGTGCTGAATGTTACTTACTACTGTGTGCATGGATTTTCAGCTTGTGGAATTTTATCATGGAGGTTGTTTGTTTTTGTTATCCCCACCTAATGTTTTGAAAAAGATGGTTTGTGGCTGTGGTTTGTTATTTCAGCTACAACGATAAGGTTTTCAAGATCTCCAGGACAGCAATTGGGGCTGCATTTGTCCGTAATTTCCTGCAATATCAAATGTTACTGCAGTTTAAAACCTCTTTCCCTGCCTGATAGCAGGCTTGGTTGTAGGTAGTTGTCATGTAAACTCTTGTGGTGTAGTAACACCGGAAAGCTGCAAGACTTGTGCTGATTAATTGCATAATGGCTTGGTTGTTGTTAGTTGTAGTAGGTCGTAGAGTAGTGTCTTGTACCTGCATCAGAAAGCTACAAGACTTATTCTGATTAATTGTGAAACAGCTTGGTTGTTTTTAGTTGATGGTCATAAACCGACCTGCCCACTTCTCATACTGATGCCAGAAAGATACAAGGCTTGTTCTGACTATGAGTTATCTATTCAAGGAATTTGGTCAAGTCTGTGCTGTGAGTTATGTAGCTTATGTCATTCTTGCTTGCATGACCACCTCAACTGGCTCACTTGTTCAGTCTGGTGTAATTGTCCACTTCGTATGCAGTAGTTTGGTTTTCGGTATGCAATCTTGTGTTTTTTCTTGTTTTGGGTTATTTGTTTCTATGAAATGTTGATTGTGGATGCATATGCTGGAAGTTATTGTATGCATGGTTTTTTGGCTCGTGGAATTTTGACATGAAGGTTTTTATTGGCACCTGATGGGATAAGGCTTGGTTGTCGTTACTTGCCAGTCGTAATGGTTCGTCATGTATTTTCTCCAGAAAGCTTTAAAACTTATTCTGATTAATAACGTAAATGTACTTCCTGATAGTTTATCCTTTCAAGGACTTTGGTCTAGTCATGTTATTCTTGCCTGCATGACCACTATGTTGTATTTACACGCACATTATTCAAGGGATGTTGTTGTTGGATTTTCATATTTAGGATTTACAATCAAAGGTGAATTTATCTTGGAAATCAAAGATTTTTTATGATTTGTTGGAATAGAGTAAATTGGTGCATTTAAAAATATGGTCACTACCATACCAAATATTTTATTTGTATCACTTAAGGGCAAATTTAATGGAATTTATGATATCTTTTTCCTAATATGTTATTAAAGGGTGACTAATAATCACCATGTTAGCATTTGTCATTGTTGTTTCCATGGTAAGTGAATAAATGAGAGAGTATCCGTGATTGGTATGTGGCCTGTGATTTACTAATGTAATATACGAAACTTCACATCAAATAATCATTCTTTTTCCTTTCTTGGTGTTGTTGCCAAAATTAGGGTTGTCCTGGTTCTTATCCTAGACCTGTTTTTATCCGATCCCTATGGGCTTTTCGAGTCGGCCCTCTTCAAGTCAGTTATTATCTAGAGCTGGCTTTTGGGTTAATAGGCGCAAACCCCAAGCCATATCTTAGGTGAGATATGTTCGATATTTATCCTTTATAATATTGATTATTTGAGGAGTGGGTTAATATGGACTCTACACTTGGGAATATGAGTTATCACGTATAAGAGAGATAGAACTATTAACATAGTTGTTATTTTCCTTTATTTTCTACGGGGTTATATACATATACCCTGCTTGTACTCCTTTTTAGGGTGAGAAGTTCTTAATAAAAACATTGAATTCCATGTACATATATGAACATGAAGAAGAACACAAAATTGAGAAGGGCCTAGAGAGAGGGTTAAGGCATAACTCAATCTCACAATATTGTGGTTTGTAAGATGAGATTTACACTCACTTATAAACTATAACTTAGTCATATCTCTAGTCGATATGAGATTTCTAATACATCCCCTCTAGCCAAGAACTAAACATCTCCATTGTGGAACTATATATTTATGGGTTTCTCGATAGTGGTTGACACGATAAATCTAACAAATCTCACTAGAAGACTTCGATATCATCTTAAAAAATAGGTTAATGTATGACTCAAGCGTACTTGGAATGTGAGGTTTGCACCTATTTATATACTATAATTTAGTTAAATTTCCAGCCGATGTGAGATCTACAACAAAATAAAGTAGAAATCAGATTGAAATGCAATTGGATAGGCCATACCAATGAATATATCACACAAGATTAATCAAAAAGGGGGTGGATGTTTATACACTAGTGAGAACATAGTCTCAATGCCAAAAATCGGCCAGAAAGTGCTGCTTGCAACATGCAACGTTAAGTGGTGTTGTAAACTCGCAAACAAGTGCATAAAGGAGCTTTACAATACAAGGCTAGGGCTTGCACACGCAGGGGTGCACAAACTAATATAAGGGAAACCTAGTTCTTGTCAACTTCAAATTGTTTGATGTTCCAATTTTACCCTTTAAGAGCTTGAAACGACACTTAGTCAAGGGCAAAACCATCTTCAATATCATATTTGAAATAATGCTACCAACATTGCAAACTATTGTGATTTGTGCCCCTCTACCTGTAATAATTAGGTATGACATGACACAATTCCTAGGAAGTATGGCATTTGTTAGAAGCTCCATATTGAATAGAATAAATTACTTAATGAGGTACGTAAGACTCTTCCACCTAATAGACTAGTTTTTCTAGGCTCTCCTTTAGTGTTGAATGTGGAGTCCAACTAGAATGACTAGTTCATTAGGAGGAAGAGTCTCAGAACTTAAGTAACACGTTAAGTGATACCACTCAATATGTGGCACCTAACATTGCCACCCTCTTTAAGGCCAACATCCATGACAATTTTCACTCTATCGACACTACTTGGTGGTAGTTTTTTTTCTTTGACAAATATTCGGGTTACACCTTAATTCAACCTATAAGTAAACCATTATCATAGCCTAACTATCAATGAAAGTACCAATTAGAACATTGGCATATAAGGAGAGCCCAAACCAAAATTTTACGGCTACTTATAGGTTATATTAAGATGAAACCGAATGATAGGTAAGTGAAGCCAAAGGGAAAAAGACCATTGGCGGTTCAATGTTGATAGAAAGTGAAAGCTATTGCAGTCGTTTCTCAAAATGGGTAGCAATGTGAGTCCGGCATTGAGTAGAATAATTTACTAAATGTGGTACTTTTAAAGCTTTGAGGTCTTACCCTTTATTATTCCTCTTTCCATTTGAATGTGAGCCTAGCCTGGATTAATGATTTAAACATTTTCTACTTGATATATCTCGCTAATTCACTATTTTTGTTGTTTCTATAAAGTAAGATGAGTGTCTTTATATAGTATTTGGTGTATGTTATGTTGGTACAAATACTTAGAAGACCAATAGTTTAAACATGTTGCAAAAAGTAATCAAAGATCAACAAACTTTCATCACAATGAACCAAAAAACTTCCTTCTTTGCTTTCAACACGGGAAAGTGTATGTTTAACAAGCTCTAAATGGTAATCCAAATACACTTAATGTGGTTATGTGATCCCTTAGTCCAAAAAATGCTTTAGGCCCTTTTGATACTAAACTATTTACTGGTTTCTCTAGATGAATCTCCTTTTTTAATTCTAGTGGATATTTTTGTTGTTTGTCTTGTCCTTATTTTTCTACAACTTGATCCACCAATTCTTTTTAGCTGTTTTTTCCTGTGTTTCTGGAAAGAAAACATTTTGAGCAACCATAATCTTTCTGTCACAGGTGTACAGCTGGATGATTTAGCACAAGCTGATGAATCTCACAAGATTTTAATGCCTGGAATCAATGTCAGTAACAAATATTTACCTGATAAAATGGTAAGGAAATGACAACTAATTAAATTCATATCTCTATATTTCCTTACTATCTTTATGTGATTAATTCACCATGTTTTTCTACTCTGCAGATTTCTAGAAAACTAAAATTTCAAAGTTCAGATATTGAATGGTCAGGCAGTACTTGGTTTTGTGCTAAACAGCTAAAGCACTACTCAGGGTTTTGCAGGAATGGAACAACCATAAATGTGAGAGAATAATTTCGTTTTTTATCATACCTCAATTTTTTCCTCACTAATAGGGCATTGAGTATTGTGGGGTGCCTAAGTCTCCCATCAAGTAGTATGTTTTGATGTTTGGTGGGGGTATTTAAGTGCTTAGTTCTCCCCCTCCCCCCTAATAGCTAGCTTTTCATGGTGGGTCTCTCAAATGTTTGAGTACTTATCAATTGGTATCAAAGCTAGTCGTCGGGGTCTTGTGTGGGGCTACCTGTGTATGTTTTTTACCAACACGGAGTTGAATGAAGTGTCATTAAGTAAAGTCTCAAAGAATTTAAGCCAAAAAGACTTTGGCTCTTAGGAGCAGTGCTATGGTAGAGACTTAGGTATTGTGTGGTGCCTAAGTCTTACATCGAGCAGTATGGGATGCTTGATACTGTATTGAAGTGCTTGGGTTCTCCCCCTAAATAGCTGGCCTTCGCAAGTGTATTCCCAAGTACTTGGGTGCTTATCACCCACATTCTCAGTACCATGTACTTTTTCTGTTTTTGGAAGGGGTTTAAATTTTATGATTCTCAAGATATTTTTTCTAAATTTTAGGTTCATTCATTTGTATATATTATGGCTGAAGAAGAAAATCACTATCTTGGCTACTTGGAAGATATGTATGAAGACAAGAAGAGACAAAAAAAGGTGAAGGTGCGGTGGTTTCACCATGGTCAGGAAGTTAAGCATGTGATTCCACAGCTGAATCTGCAAGAGGGAGAGGTTTTCATCACACCTCATGTTCAGGTGATCAGTGCTGAGTGCGTCAATGGTCCTGCAACTGTTTTGACTCCTAAACATTATGAGATATACCTGGCTGCTGTGCCTCATACCTCTTTATCTGAGATCCATACGTGCTTTAGGCAGTTTAAAAACAATAAGCTTAAGCCCTTCACACTTACAAAGTTGCGTGGATATAGTAACCAGCCTGTACTTTCTTGTTTGAATAGTCCAATTCTCTCAAAGAGAAAGTCAAAGTGTGAAAAATCGCACACAGATGATGATGAGAACTTCACTCAAGATGATCCTTTAAGGTCCAGCAATAAGAGAATTAGAAGCTCAAAGGATCAAATATTTGAGAGGGGTTTTTCTGGTCTGCAAATCTCTGGTCCTACCAATGAAATGACAAAATGTGGACCAAAATACCCTAGTTTAAAATTAAAACTATCAAGAAAAACGATGGGTATTAAGGTTATTGGACCAAAGCCTAAACTTTCTTTTCAGGTCAGTGCTAAGATAGAGGTTCTTTGTCAAGATAGTGGCATTAGAGGATGCTGGTTTAGATGTAAGATCTTGAGTATGTCTCCGAGGCTGCTGAAGGTCCAGTATGATGATTTGCTTGATTTAGACGGACCACATAAACTAGAGGTTTGCAATGGCTTATGTTTTCTTTTCTCTTTATTCTTTCTATTTTTCTATCTATTTTATCTTAACATTGCTGAAATACTAGTTGTAGTGATTTTTGGACTTAGAAGTCCAATAATCTTAAATTTTCTTTTGAGCAATGAAGATAGGGAAGAGTATGTTTCTCAGCCCTGTTAACACTCTGTAGGAATGGGTCCCTGCATCGAGAGTGGCAGATCCTGACAAATTGGGTATGCGATGTTCAGGCCGCTTAACAGTACGACCATGCCCTCCTGAATACAATTCAGGTCCTACTTTTGAGATTGGAGCACCAGTGGATGCGTGGTGGTGTGATGGATGGTGGGAAGGTGTCATAACTGCAGTTAATGTCAGTGGAGATGGAATCCTGCAAGTTTATACCCCTGGTAGGAGGATACATTTTTTTTTCTTAAATTGTTGTGATATAGTTCACTGGCTCATGGATTCCATAAGTTTGTGAATCATGTTTTGTTTATCTTTGATATCTGACTATTGGTAATATGATTTTTTCACTAGGTGAAGGGAGGTTTCTAAAGGTCGAGCAAAAGAACATTCGATTTTCCCGAGATTGGATCAATAACAGATGGGTTGAAATAGGAGGTAAGCCTGACATATGCAGTTATTTAACTTCAAATGTCAGGTCCAGCATCGGGATGTCTGCTAATTCTGCAGTGGTAGATGGATCTATATCTGATTGCTCTGCTTTAGAAAGTAAATCATCATCAATTCCCAAAGTTGAAGTTGCTAAAAAGGTTGAGCCAGTATCGTCTGGTTTGGAAACACCTGCGGATCTGGAGAATATGAAGGGAATAACTCTGAGGGAGCCACTCTATGCCATTCATGAAGATAAAGATAACAACCCTGGTGGTGGCTGTGATGATGAAGCTGACAAGGCTGTGAAGACACTTCTGACCCTAAATGAACACAAGTATAATAACTCTTGTGGAGGCAGTGATGATGACACTGACAATGAAGTCAATGTCAATGGTGATAATGTTGATGAGGAGGAGGGCAGTGAAGGAAATTTTGATTGTTCTGAACCAAAACTTGATGCAGCAGAAGCAATACAAGTTGCATGATGAATATATATGATAGAAGCTAAATGGGGAATTTTTTTCTCTCCTACTGATTTTACCTGAAGGTGGAATGAGCTTGTATATAAAACCATATGAAGCCCTGAGATGTAGTTACATATGCAGAGGATTATGATTTATAAGTTTCTGACTTAAGGATAATTGTAGTGTATAGTATTATAGTTTATGTTTTTGAGTTCACTAGATCAACTTCTATAGGCTCCATATTAGGTCATGTGGCTGGTAGATGCACAACTGCACATATCAGTTGAAACTGCATATCATAGAGCTAGCCCATGAGTAAAGTTTGTAATGATTGCCAGTAGTTTTGGCTTTTGACCATGAATCTTACAAGATTACAGAATTACAAAATCTGCCATGTTGAGATTGTTCTATTATGAACGGCTTGGTTTAACAAATGTATGTTTATCTCCAAGTGGTGTAGGGGATTTTGATTTTCTTAAATAAAGCTCCGTTTTTCTTGTCAATGGAGGGAATTATGATTTTCTTATGTTGGTTCGACTCCAACTAGGCTTTTCTCAATTCACTTTTAATTTGATTTATAAGCTAAGAATGGAATTACAAGGAGGGTCTCCAAAAACAAGTGCATTAAGGGCGTGATATTATTTTTTTCCTGATTAAGAAATTTATACATTGTTATGAAATTAATAATTAAGAAGGCGTGTGATATCAATAAAAGTTTATTTCCATCTAGACCATTTTTTCAAAAATTAAATTTTTTAAAATAAGATTCTATTTTGGTTATATAAAATTTGTAACTATTACCACTCATTTAAAATTAACATTTTCAAAAATACTTTTAGCTCCGAAAGAAATTTTTATTCTCATGAGAAGTTATTACTCTCAATTTAAGTTAGAAAAAAAAATTGTTTCTACCACGATCACTTGTTTGAGATTTTAAAACTTTTTCTTTATTGATTTTTTATTTTAATTTTATTTATATCTTATCTAAATGAGAATAACAATTAGGCTAAATCTTTAGAATAATGCAAACTCCTAATATTACAAATTAACCTACTTCACAGTAATAAGTTACTCTGTAGAAAAATGATTTAAACTTTCAATCTATGACATTTAAAATTCAGGATCACAGTTTTATTTATCCAAAACAAAACTAAACCTTAAACACCACCCTTCGCCTTTGTAATAGATGTTTCTGTTTTTGCCCGTTACAAAATTATAATAGAGTCTCGTTTAAAAAATAAATAATAAGTAAACAAATTTTATGCTTTTTTATTCAAAAACATTAATCACTTTATTTTTATCCAAAATCTTTACAAATTAAAATATTTAAAATATCTCCTACTAAATTCATCAAATTACTCCAAATACTTCAGATTTTTTTTTGTGTACAACTCTCATCCTATAAAATACTTCAGATTTAATAAAAATTTAGTAACATTCTTATTTTTTAAATTATAGAATTACACCACTTCTCAAAATTGTCATAAACCACCAAATATTTCAATGAAATAATAATGTTGTGAAGATCTTCTGTTAAAGAAGATTTATGGTAAAGAAAATTTAATTTAATTTTAAAAACAATATTTGGCTAATAAACAAAATGTAATTTTAAAAATAATACTTATTTGGTTAATAAACTAAAGATTATTTTTCAGTATAAATTAAACACATGTATAAGATATTTACAACAATTCATACACCTTACTTAACAAAGAAACCAATAAATGTGCAACAAGCCATCAAATGTACTAACACTCTAAAAAGTAAAATGCTACAAAAACTACGTAGAAATTGAGAAGTTCAAATAAACAAATATAATCTACATGAACTTTTTCCCATCCTTATCCATAAAATAAAAGATAATAAATTAACAATAGTTTCTCATGTCTATCCACTTAGTACAAACAAAGACACATTCATGAGCTGTGTGACATAGAATCATGATTAACTTGTGTATCCTTTGACTAGCTCTAACTCAGTCTATTACATAAATCATAATACAGCACTTCAAAATTTTTATCAACTTGTTATACACCATAAATTTCAACTATGGGAGGATAAAAGAGAATAATCTATTTAGGAATTACACATAGAAGTAAAAGAAACCTCAGGGTGAACCGATCCCTTTCTTAACGAGCATATCATACACCCTGTCAATCTTCATGGCATCCATCTTGAACAACTGATGAGCATCGGATTTTGCAGAGACAGTGCCAGCAAGTATTTGAAGAGACAGTTGCTCTTGCATCTTTAGATATGTGACTGGAGGCAATCTTATCTCACAGCACAATCGTTTCTCCTGTCAAAGAAAAAATAATTTTTAGAAATCAATCAACTGGATTATTTATATAATTTTAAAGAAAAACTGACTAAAAACATTTATAATATCCATAGATAAATGTTACTAAGCTTAAATCTAACTCAACTCATTAACTCAATTTTGCATACTTACAGCTTCACAAAGTAAATCTGCTCCATAGTATCCTGTTACATCCATCTCATTGACAGAACTAGAAGTAGCTGGTCCTGCAGGTCTTGCACTCAGATCCTTATTAGTTGAATCTGGAGAAGTCAATGCATTTGGAATTCCCTGATTGCTCGGACCAACCTGACCACTTTCTTTTGTCCTTGTCCTTCGAGCAATTTCTTCGGCTTCCCTCTTTCTCTTGTGTGAGAGATATCTATCAGCTTCAGCTGAATTGCGGCAACCAGCTACCCGGGCTTCCTGCAGTATCACATACATTATATTAATCTGACTGTGATCCATCCAAGTGCTTGAAAATTGTAAGATACTTGAAAAAAGATTGATTAGTGTGAAAAATTTTCTACTAGCCACAAATGTTATAACAATGACAAGAAACTCATATTTCTAGAACAAAAGAAAGAAGAATAAAGGATAACAACCTTGAGGTCTTGAATTTTTTTCCAACTTCTATGCTCAAATAACATTGTTCTAAGCAATTCCTCGTGATCTTCCTTAGAATGAAAGCGCATGAATATGTCGTATTTCCGACATATTGCCTTCTCCTCAGGTGTTAAATCCTTCTCAAATGGATTTGGGTATAACAAATTTCTTTCAAGTATGAAATCCTTCCTCCGCTTTCTTTCATCAAGCCTGTAACAACCATAAAAATTAAAAATTCTTCTTATAACCTCCAACCTCATGACATTAATAATAGTTCACAGTAAATGATTAAAAAAACATATAAAATTAAACTAAATTGGTTGTTTACCTCTTTGAATACAATCGTAATACCCGTAATTTCAACTCTCGCTCTTCCTCTGAGTCGGTATCCTTAAATTCCATTTCAGCAAGTAGTTGTTCAGCATCATTATCATATTCAGGTTCGAATTCCTGTCTTTTAGCATTGTACCCACTCAATTCAACTAGAGAAGGACCTTCATTTCCTGAGGAAGTTGGCTTCTTTCCTCCAAAATCTCTGTCTATTTGAGAGTCTGTCAACGATAGAAAAACTAGAAAATTTAATACATCAGAGTGTCACTAATTTTCCTCATGGATGCATGATAAAAAATTAAACTAAACAAAGAAAAACATACAAAAGCATCAAGAGTCTAAGCCAAAAAATATTTTTCATTTATCTAACCTCAACATACACAAGATCTTAGTTTTAGTTATACCAGTAATAGAAGAGCTGCTTCATTTCATCAAATATAATATAATGTTATGGTTGAAAAATATGCAAAACACACAAATCCTTCATATGTATTTTTCTATGGAAAAATAAAGGCTAATGATGAAACATAAAGATGCACACCTTCCATTTTAATGACTCCTGGACCACCTTTTCCCCTTCCCACATTAGATGCCTTTTGATTAGCACCAGTTGCGGCGTGTGTGTTACCAGATGGACCCGAATCTGACTCTGCAATATATAAATAAGATAGAGATTCAAAAAAGATGAAAATGGATAACTAGATCCATGGTTAACTAATTAGCTATAAACTTATTTTGCTTTACCTGAATTTAGATTTGAAGATAAACGATTAGCGGAGCCAGCTTTATGAGAATCTTCAACCCTGAATCAACAAATAGACATTAAAGAATATGGTATAAAGATGATGTGAGATAAGGCATATAAAAAAATGACAGTCTTACTTAGCTCTAGATGGAGAAAAGGGAGATTCTGCCTTTAAACTAAGATCCCCCATGGAAATTCCTGTGTCAATCACAAGTGATCAAATGATAATAAAATTGTTACTAAACACAACAACCTATAAATCATGTAAAATAATCCAAAATATTTTATGCAAATATCAGAGTCATTTTATACATTTATGTTAAGACAATCTGCTGCAGGGACCCAAGTACTATTATTTGTACATATACACTGAATAAAAGGCAGCAAGTTTATGTCATCCAAAAGAAGTGATAAACATATTGGGCAAAAATAATTAGATTAGAAACTAACAAACTAATGAATGTGGCATTATGAATATGACAAACCTTTCTTGTCTTCAGCCTGCCCCTTTGCCATAGCAAGAAGTTCTTTTCTGTTTTTCCCAACTACATGAGACATGTCCTAAAAAAAAAGACAGACCAGGATGTAAAATACCATTAAAAATGATAAATAGCATTCACTACAACTTTATTTGATGCCTCATCATACCGGAACAGGAAAGAACGGGGAGCTCAAGTATATATTCTTATAATGTTCTATGCATGACTCTTTGTTTTTTGTTCCAACATGCTCGGCAACTTCTGTCCAATTTCCTAGGCCATACATCTCAATTCCCTAAAACCAACAAATTTATTACTCAAAAGATTAGATAAAAATAAAAGATTTATTCTTGGACTACATGCTTAACAATTTTAAACCACTAGCACCATTACTCCTGGAAATAAATTTGAAGTACCTCTAGAAGCAAGATTTCATCATCTGCATTCCAGTCTGGGCAAATAAGAGGGAAAGACAAATTATCCTGTCAAAATAGAATCACATGACAAATTTCTTAACAACATGAAACATTCACTTAAAGATAAATTCTCACAAATCTGATTTGTCTTTTCCCCAAGGTAACAAAACATTTTTAGAACAAAATACTAATGAAACTTAATTGACTAATCCTGTAATCGATCAGACATATTTGGACAGCTCAACTAGTAGTCTTGCAGAAAAAATAACACAATTTTCTCTGTAACTAAAAAAGTTTAAATTAAGTAATCATTAAACAAAACATGGGAGATTAACAATTACTGACCATCACCCTGTAAGGGTGGTTGCTTTTATGAGGTGTCACCTCCGCTCCAACAGAGAAACACTCTATACACAAGTCAAAATCTGGGCACATGGCACACTTAATACGAATTTTTCCTGTTATATCTTTATTGCAATAATTGCAGTGGTACAGAGCCTTTTTTCCTTCTCCTGCTCCTTGGCCTAGTACACATGAAAACAAAAAATTCAAACATCAATATTCATGAATCAACAAGGCAATTTTAGGTCTAAGTAACAACTCCAGCTATAGTTTTCCTGTCTGAAGAATAATTATTTTAATTTCTTCAACCTCACAGACATTCCACAAAACTTTCAGAACAACCACAATGAATCACTACCTTTCTTCTGGTTTCATTCATTATAAATGGAAAAAGAAATTTCAGGCCACACATACCTAACATCTTCAACAAAATACTAGTGAGCATATGCATTGAGGGATAATTTAAAATTCTTAAGTAAGACAATATAGTGACAAACTTAGTGTTCAAAATAAATACATCATAATATAATCATTGTCAATATAATGCATACATGAAAAAGATTGTGATTATATAGTTTCATCCCAACAAGTGAGATAAGCTATATATATTACATGACATCATTATCTAGAGTATTCATAATTATGAATTCTTCATAAATGTTAATGAATCGTAAAACAACCGTCTTGAAGCGCAAATACCATTCAAATCAGTGAGGAGAGAAAGAAGGCGTGTTCTCACCAATTTTCACAAAATCAAATAAACTATAGTTTCATAATCTATTAAAGGATCATACTTATCCAAATACTGCAGAACAATGCAAAAAATTACCTGCAGCTCCAGATTCTGAATTTTCTCCGCTGGCGGCACTCTTTTTTCTCCTTGACCTACAAAACCAAAAACAAATTAAATTAAATTAAACAGACAAAACACAGGGTAGAAAGGAAAAAAAAAAACAAAGAAAGATTTAATTGAGCATCAAAAAGTAGAATAAGCATAGCATTTTACTGTATGTGTGATCAGGTATACACATTCAGGAAAACATCAAGGTTCAATTGTTATTGGCATCCTTGCTCTCACAGTGAGAATTGCATTTGGATGAAGGATTAAAATTGTCAAGTATAATCAGATGAAGATAAGGAAAAAAGATAAAGAAAGAGAAAAACCTCTGGTTGGGGTCCTCATCCGCGTGATGAAAATTCCCACGAGAACGACCCATTGATTCTTCTAAAAAAACTCCCGAATGAATTTGAGTTTGTTGAGGCGCAAGATCACGATGGAAGAAAAGGGACACAACAATCTACAATTTTTTTAAAATAAAAACCCTAGATTTTTGTGATTACAATTGAGGTAGGACTTTTATAAATATGAAAACTTTTATGTTGGTGCTAAGGATTTTGACGAGGGTTTTGCATTAGGCGCTAAAATGCAGTGAAAAGAAATATGAGAGGGGGAATTGACGAAAAGAACAGCGACAAAAGATTATGATTTAGCGCGGGTCAAACCAAGCTGAGTTTGATGATGCCGAATGTGAAACTCAGTTACGAGGATTGTGCTTCAACTGTAACTATTATATTTTACTTTTATGCCTTCTTTTGAAAAAATATATATATATATATATATATATATATATATATATATATATATATAGGTATTTTATTATTTACTAACGAAAATACATGTTTGGCAACAAATTGTATTTACAATATTTTTATTATATTTTTTCATTTTAATATGTTAACATATTTATACTAATTTTATTTTTAAGTATTAATAAAATATCTATTATTACTTTTTATTTTATGTGATTTTGTTTATCATATCTACAACAATATGTAATTTATATCAATATATAATGATTCATCGGTACATTGTTTTAATTTATAACGGATATTCTCATCTAATGTTAATTAAGCTAAATAAAAGGAATAAGTATATATTTTCTTAAGATATAATTATTTCTTTCTATTATTTTCTTTCTCATTATTATTCTTCATCCAAAGTTTGGTATTGAAAATTTAAAACATTAATAAAAAATATAAATTTATTTCTATTTACCATATTTATATATTATTATGGATATTAATTTAAATTATATTAAATAAAATATACTTATTACTATTGTTATTTTATCTGATCTTGTTTATTATATGTTTAACGAAATATTCACTTGATATATTATTTTAATAATAATAATGTATAACTGGATAATTTCATTTGAAGAATCCTTTATAAATAATATAGATTATTCATTATGTAAAATTAAATATGTTTTACTCAGTAATTTCATTAAATTTAGATTTTATTTATTTTTATTTTAAAACTAGTAATAAGCTTTTATATTTTTAAAACATTACATAAATATAGTATTTTTATCAATATCGTAAAAAAAAAATCACGTGTTTCTAAAAATTAAGAAACTAATTTATCAAATTTTAAATATAAAAAAAGTTTTAAAAAATATAACATATAAATCTCTCTTTATATATATATATATATATATATATATATATATATATATATATATATATATTCTATTATATATTAATAAAATGTTTTTTTTAAGAGGTCAACATGACATCACTACAATGACTTTTTTTCTTAAGTACAAATATTTTTATTTTTTAATTCATAACTTTGTATTACATATATATATATATATATATATATATATATATATATATATATATATATATATATTACATATATTTTCATATAAAAAATTTAATACATAAATATATTAAAAATTTGTGAGATATAATTTTTTTTTACATTTTCTAAAAAATATTTATACATTTTTTTAACTATCCATTTTAATTTATCTATTTTTGTGAAAATTTTATAAGAAAAACAAATGATGAATTTTGAATAAATTCCTACTCTTATATTTTAGTTTTATGTCGTGGATTAATCAAAATAAAAAAAATATATGTCCCTTTTTTTATTTCATCACGTGAATTTTTCATTGTAAATTAAAATAGAATCTATACATTAAATATATTTATTTATTATAAATTTTAAGTAAAGTATAATTTATATTTTAAAAAATATTCATTTGTTTAAAACTGTAATAGTATAAAATATAGTTATATTTTAAAGCATAATTCTAATTGAAGAGTGAAATTCATCTTGTACATGTTTTGTCGTTTGCGAGTTTGGTTTAAAATTGTTTTCATTATTGTTTTAGTATTTACTAATCTTGCTCTATCATTGAATTATGGGTAAATTTTAACAAAAATGTAAATAATCAAAGTTAATCTTAAACGTTAAATATATGTAAACAGCAACATTAGTAACTCGCTAGCTATCAGTTACATGAAAGTATTAAAATTTAAAAAATTATTTACAAACATGTATTTTGTCTTAACTATGTGCTTATACATTACGTGGTTAAATAAAATAAAATTTTAAACCTTTACCATTCAAACTTCATTATATGCAAAAATTATAATTAAACCTACTTTATCAATATTTTGTACTTATATGTTTCTAATCCACAAATATTATTGTATAGATGTGTCTCTTTTTTGTTGTTGAGCTCAATGATTTCAAATGCATTAATTGGTTTTCATATACATGTTCTTCATTTTTGTAAATGGAGTAATTTTTTTAAGTTTATTTGTTTATTAATTTTGTTAAAAAATTTTAGCTTTTAAAAAATTATTATTTTTAAAATAGTTTAATTATTTTAGTTTTAATAATTTAAAATTAAACAATTAAGAAATATTGTTTTTATTATGATTTCACCATAATTACACTATACTATTATTTTTATTATAAAAATTATTTTTTATTTTCATTGTTATTATTATTTTTTATTAAAATAATTTATAAATTAAAATTGTATATATTTTAACTTATTTTAAAAAAATTAACATCTATAAATATTTTTAAAATTTAGAAATAAGATTAAATCAAACACTATATGATTATTCGTGAATATATGAAATAAACCACGATCATCAATCGTTATTGCGATTTTATGGTCAACGTTGATAAATTGGTCGAATTTTTTCAGAGGTCAAAAGTCACGTTAATAAAAAATACTATTTATAAAATTTAATAATTATTAAATATATTTATCAATATATATTGATGATCATGCTATCCATAATTTTAATTTATTATAATTTGTATATATAATTATAAAAATTAAAAATAAATATTTTTTAAATTTTAAAAATCAATTATTAAATTTTTTATAAATTATAATAATTATAATTTTTATATAATTTTTTATTTATTTTTTCTTTCTCCTTTACTGTTGTGTTTGTTTGAGCTGATTTGCGACGAAATACTATTCACGAAGACGAAACACGACATTCACACACGTTTGGTTGAGCTGATTTGCGACGAAATGCGAGCGAGGAAAAAGGGGAGATGAGAGAGAGAGTTTCTTCGCTGAGGTGCGAAGAAAAGAGATGAAAGTAATGAAAAGTCGCGAGTTACCTACGCAATATATGATAGCGGTTAAATCCTAACCGCTATTATAACAACACTTCTAATAGCGGTTAAGCCTTAACCGCTATCTAATATACACTTTAGATAGCGGTTACAGAGGAACCGCTATTATATCAAATTTCGCTCGAGCGAAATATAGTCGCTCAAGCGAAACACAACCCCGGACGCAACAAGGTTCTTAAAAGGAGCTTATAATAGCGGTTAAACCTTAACCGCTATCTAATATACACTTTAGATAGCGGTTACAGAGGAACCGCTATTATATCCTCCAATTATGATCGATCATTTCACGTTATGATCGATCAGAATCAAATTTCGCTCGAGCGAGATATAGTCGCTCAAGCGAAACACAACCCCAGACGCAACAAGGTTCTTAAAAGGAGCTTATAATAGCGGTTAAACCTTAACCGATATCTAATATACACTTTAGATAGCGGTTACAGAGGAACCGCTATTATATCCTCCATTATGATCGATCATTTCACGTTATGATCGATCATAATTAAATTTCGCTCGAGCGAGATATAGTCGCTCAGCGAAACACAACCAGACCTTATAATAGCGGTTAAACCTTAACCGCTATCTAATATACACTTTAGATAGCGGTTACTGAGGAACCGCTATTATATCCTCCAATTATGATCGATCATTTCACATTATGATCGATCAGGATGGTATTTCGCTCGAGCGAGAGTATAGTCGCTCGAGCGAAATACAACCCGAATCTTAAAATATTTTTTTGAATATTATGTTTTTAAATTTGCTATTAGACAAAACCTTTCAGAATTCAAAATGTTAAATAATTTTAAATATTAAAATTAACTTTATCAAAAATTAGGGAAACAAAATTTATCCAAAAAAGTTCAAAATGTATAAGAGTATTCTCAATTTTGATGTTTAATTATATTATTAATTCTCAAAGTAGAAAATTATATTGTAATTATTTTATCTCAAGTTAATGTGATGAGACGATCATAAACATTTCAACATTCGAGTCAGATATATGGGACATCTTCGTCTCTCCCAGATTGTTCATGTTCTTGAGTGGAAGTGATTGAATGATCTGAAGCTGGAGGACTTGACTGCAAAAGATGAATAACATTATAATTATTTGTTTGAAGAGCATTAGTGTGCATAGGTTTAAAATTTTAGTAATGTTTCATTTAATTATTATTCTATTTTCATTGTATTTTATATTTGTTTTAAATAATAATGTACAATTATATTATTAGTTTTCATAATTATTTGTTACTATCAATCAATATTAATTATTATTTTATATTTTATAATTATTTAATTATTAGTCAAATAATTTATTTAATATGTCAACATTATTTGAATATGGATATGCAATGTACATAATTTTGTAATTGTTTATTTATATAATTTTTAATAACTATCTAAAAAAAGTTAATTTTTTAAATTTGTTTCCAATTACAAACACTTTTAATTTTGTTTTTTCTTTTAAATATATAATCAATGTTAAAATATGGATAATTAGTTAAAAATTTATATTTATAATCATTTGAACCTTATTTTATACAAAGGGTAAAATGGTAATTTTCTTAAATAATCAACATAAAATTATAATTTTTATATCTCATATCAATCAAATCATTCACAATTTCCCATAAACATTCCATTCATCTCCATTTCTCTTCAAATCCCTCCTTTTCCACTCTCTCATTTCCACTCTCTCAAATCACTCCAACCAAACAAAGCCTTAATGCTTCAATTTTAAATATTTTTTTATTTATT